ACTTGCCTCAAAGTGAAAAAGTAGATCGGTAGGGAAGAATGGAACTTCCCTAACACAATAAACAAGATGAGTGAAGTAAGGATTAACAGAACATCGATGACATGTGTTAATCTTAGTGATTAATGGAGCGTTGGTTTGTAGGTTAATAATATAGCGTGAAGGTAATAAATCATCTTGAGGCTGGACTTTGAATGAAGTTGAAACAACTTTACTTGCTAGTCGATAAATAAGTCATTAAGTACCTAGGTCATATTATTTTCGCTTAAATAACAATCCACTTGATTCCGTGATTGTGACTGTTGTGCATCCTGAAATCGGACCAGCAAACGATAGTAGAACAGCTTTCGAATCCGTACTTTTATCAGGTGATCTATAGGGTCAGCGAATAGAAGTGATGGTTAATTTAATTACTGCAATACTACGACAAGTTAGCTGAGGAGATAGTGGTACGTTGCATTTTATTACTAGAAGAAGAAGGCTACCATAAAGCAAAGGATATTTTGTGTTCCAGTTTACCTCTAACACGTAATATAACTAAAAGATTTTTTTGAGACTTACTATCCTGACCTGCCAATTCAATCGGAAGACGTATACAGAATGCAAATTATCACAAGACGTAGTACATTGTAAAGTGAAGAGTGATGCTGACTGACACTGTTCTACACAGCTAAGAAGCCTACAACCCTGTTCACTTTGAGGATTCCAGTCATAATTGATCTTAACTACTGATGAAATCCGGATTAGAGTGTTTAGGCCTGAATTCTAGAATTCACTAATTTAGGGAAAAACCAAGTACTGGAATATAATTACAATTGATGAATAACTGATAATACATTTATTTTAAAAAATTCAGAAGAAACGACATATTTCGATTATCAACTCTATTTGTTGAAATTGGTAATAGTTTATAAAGATTATATTTGGAATAACAGAATACCTCTCTCATATGAATAGACGTTACACTGCAAATATTAACCGCTGACGGCATTGATTTAATGCTGTGAATTGAAAAACTGCATGTCGATTGAATAAAATATAAACAAATATGTTATTGATATCACGACAGCATAAAATATACAATCCGACTGAAGCATCCATGGATAGGATTCTAGTTTCAGTTGCTGACCAATAAATATCAGTAACTAATAAAAATTTTGAACAAAGAGGAGAACTTGCTTACTATTAAAGTAAACTAAATGTATAGTTCTACGAAATGAAATTCAAACTTATAGATTCCACATATTTTCGCAAACATAAAACATAGAGAGTTTCCATGTTTTTAGTCTACGAATTTGTCATTTAACTATGCAAATTGTATACTTCTGCATTTCTCAGTGCTCGACATTTTACGTTTACGTAGAGTTCACTTTAGGACTATTTTTCATGATAGTTCGGGGTTATCAAAAATATTGCATTAAGCTTTAATTGTTGTAAACACAATGTGAAGTGGATTAGATTTCGGAATTATTTCAAACAAATTTCTATTATGAACTTCCTGTGACAGGTCGACTGTTATTTGTAAAATCGAAGATATAACAAATTCGATAATGACATGTATTACCTCGTCATTTGACAACCTCATGATGAACGACAGTTTAAATTATCTTACATTCTGTACAATCCTGATTATTAAGTGATTGGTCAAACAACTGTCAGCTGTCACATTATAACAAAACTTACTTTTTTCTAATGTTTAACTTACTGGTAAAACTGATAGGAGAACAAATGCTCCCATCACATTAACTGCGACCTAAAAATAGAAAACAAACTCATCAAGTGCCTTGTTTGGCTACGGATTTATATCACTGATTTTCTTGTACTCAATTAAATAGGCTACCTTTCCACATTGATGTGTACTATTACACAGAACGATGTAGTTTTCCAACACTAACTGAGACGTATTTACATCATGAATGATTTTCATTTGAAATCTATGTGGTGTTGATATACACTTTACATTTTAGAAAATGTACTTCTATCTACATAGTAATTTTTATGAAAGCAGAGACCAAGGCTAAAACTAAACTTTATTTCAAAAATATTCTTTAAGCCATCGTTTACATCCACTTATGCAATTCAACATGAAGAACACCATAGAATATTCAAATCTGTTTTTCAATGAATTTTAAGATTGAACCATGTAATCTTGTGTTACAATCCAATGCTCATTTGACATTACATATACATAATGATACAATGATTCCGTTATGCAATCGCAAGTCATCCGTAATCTATCTGTTTTACATTACACAAGATTTTCTTTATAATTCCACTACTCTTGCATATGTTAACTGACTGAAACTGTTCCTTAAAACATACTGTCAGAAGAAGATTATTGAACATTTTAAGAAATATTCTGCAAAAGACGAAATCATTCAGCACTAATAGCACTATTTTAATTGTATATCACTTGTGGAAATCAAAACCGTATAGGTAGTAACAAAGATTTGCACATAAAAACGATGAAATGTGCGTTGAAATTATTCATATAAGTGTTAAATACATTGTTATCATTCATCTCTACGGAGATTTTGTGGTGACATTCAATAATTTAATTGATTACAGATTATCAATTATTATTAAATTGAAATTGTACTTTGCGAAAACTGTTGTAAAAATTTTATGAAGACGTACACTTTGGTGAGCAAAATACAATGTAATCGATGATATCAGTCCCAGTGCAATGAAACTGATCATAACAAGAATCAACATAATCGGAGAAATTTCAACTTTGATTGACATCCCGAGTAAAATCACTATAAATAGAATAATTGCCGCGAGACCAAACGATATCATGGTATATGTGATTTTGGTGCTCAGTATTGGTGGTATAAATGCAAAACACATTAACAACGTCTAATATTTTAATAGAAAGAAAAAAGAGCAGGTTCAGTAGTGGAAAAATTAGAAATCATCAATAAAACAGCCTAAAAGAAAACCTTTTTTTGAGTAGAAACTCTATACCTCAAAAGGTAAGGCGATTTACATGGATGAACTGAACACTAGGCGAAAATTCTACACTCAATAAAACAACATCTTCAAATCAAACGATTGTACTGATTGCATTCCAAATTTTTAGTTTATTCAAGAAAGTAATTTAATCACTGTTTAGTGATGCATGTCTAATAAAACATTTTAAAGAGATTGTTCCTGATAAATGTCGAATATCATCTACTGTTTCGCAGTACATGTTGTGGGTACGGGATATCTTGAATGCACACACTTCATGCAATATTAAACAAATAGATAAAACTTACATTTAAATGCAGGTAGATAAAATTCATTGGGAAATGTTCTCGCATTTCACGTACAGTGATCAATAGAAGTGAGAAAATTATGGAACTTGGTCTGAGTTTCACAATTACAGAAAACAAATTTCGAATTCATAATTTTATTCAGTAAATATTGAATAATTCATATAACAAATGAAATATTTAATTATTCTAATCAATGTCATCTTTAATAATTTATAGATTGAATAACATGAATGATCAGAATCAATAAATAAACAAATCTAGTTTGTCAGTATCATAACAAGGACTTTTCTTGATAATTTTAGGTACATTGAACATTGGTAGACTGCTATCATTATAATATGATATATTTTTAATATCCAACTGAGTAAAAATATTGGGACATGTTGTGAATTTTTGTAACCATGTATAAGCTACTTATTCAGAGAATAACAAATTAAAACTATAAGATTAACTGAAGTTGAAGGAGTCCGAAGGAACAAAGCGGAAATGCTTACTGCCAACCACGAAGAGAGTTGAGTAGCTAAACCTTTCTCTCGGACACTCAGTAGGAAAGAAGACTGCAGTATACATTCGACTTGAACCACCTGTCCAAGTAACAAACTATAATTCTGTTCACATTTCATATTATCATCCTACATACAAAATCAACTAAACACTTTTATATTACAAGCGTCACAGTTTTTCTTGTCTACTATCATTTAGGCAAACAGAGAAACAGGTTTCGTAGTCAACAGTCAAAAAAATGCCTTTTGACAGTACAACTGTTTATGTGACCAAACAACCAGCATGTAATGAAAGCCCATCACTGTGATGTTCTCATAGTTTACTATCCAGTTACGACACACACAGTGAACTACTTATTTAAAATGTCTATTAAATTGTCAGAAATACTTAATTATTTTCCACAACTTACATTAAACCTAGTAAAACCCATTTGTATTTATCCGTTTCCTTACACGATTTGCAACTAAAATAAGATTCATTCAGTTATTGCAAGTAAGACTTACAATTTCCAAATGAGTATTGTAGTGAGGATGATTTCAATCAAACATAGAAAAATATGTATCCAAAACTGAAAATTTTTATTCAACCATCCAATATAAAAAGTTACTCTGAACGCCTTTAATCCGGGTGATAATTTCCACATAGAATGAACATTGAAATAATGAATTTGTTTGTATTGCATTCTGTAGAAATGGTTGAGTTTTCTAGAAATTAACAATAAACAAATTGTCAGTGAAGCATATATATTGGATGTTGAATATGAGTAATCAAACTGATGAATAAAAGCTTCCCTAGAACACTTATTTTAAATGAATAATATATTTATAATTATTGTAAGAGTTAGAAATATTTTCAAAAGTCCTGTCGTTGGTTATTTACTCCTGAACATATGTGCAAATATTGTGAAATTCATAGACTTGTATTTTTCAGTTAAGTCACCTCGAAAATATTTTAGACAAAATTGATTAGTTCCAGCGATGGACTGATAATGATACTAACATTTTATATATTTTTGTGTTTACGAATAAAAAGTTATATATTTTTAGAAAAACTGATTATCCTTAACTCCAATTTAAAAAAAATTAAGCGACTACAGTCAGTCATTAGTTAGTCTATGGGGGTAATTGTACTATGTTCTTTTTTAAAATGATAACCTTGTTCTAGATGTAAAATACTGTTTCGAGAAGTCGGAATATAAAGTCCATTCCTTAAAATATAAATTAAGACTACTTTATTTCTTCAAAAACTATTTCGAATGATATTATTTATTACTAAAAAGTCATAGAACGTAACAACTGATAGATACCACTTTTTCTTAAAAATTTTTTCAATGGATGACTAGTTTATTTAATTAAAGGTTGAGAAATGAGAAAAACGTATGTCATCATTTTACACCATGGAACTGATCTTAGTTAGTCAAACGTTAGAATCCAGGTAGCATTAGACTGTGAATCTACATCATAACCTTCAAATCTTGCGGTGTAAGAAAACAATCACTAGGGAAAACGTAGAAAGTTTGCGTTATTTTGTTCATTCATTAAAGTTGAGTGTGTAAATCACTGGATGGTATTTTAGACATTTACAGATCAATCGCTAGCTGTCATGGATCCTGAGTTTGTAATACTTCTAATAAAGAGGCAAAACAAAGAAACTGAACCTTTCTTTCGATTCAACAACACTGTAGGAAACTGTTCTTCACATAAATGGCACTGCAATGCCTTTATAGTTGTCACACCTAATGAGGTCTCCTTCGTTCGGTATATTGATTAGGTATCGTTCCTTACAGTCTATCAGTAGTTGTTCTTACGCTATTATCTTGCTGCTGAGAGCATGGACCGACGTTGTAGTTACTTCTAGTTCTAACTTTGATATCGCAGCTGGCATACTGTTTGATCCTGCCGCTTCGCTCCGCTCCTTCAATCTGATGGTCATGCTGATTTCTTCCATTGTTATTGGGGTATAGTGAAGGTTTGAGGTGTTGCTTCAGTGTTCGTTGATTTCAGTGAGGCTCGTCTGTTCACGAGCTCTTCAGGGTACTTTATCCACCTGTTTCACCGGTGTTAGATCACAGTGATTGGTTTAACTTCCTTGTTCATAACTGACCACTCTGGATTTCTAGACTTTCTAGCTAACTATGTAGTCGTATGAAACAGTTGTCCGTTATTTCATTCGCTTGCAGCTTTCGCTAGTTTCATTGTTAGGTCTTCCACAAATCTGGTTCGCAAATCTCTCACCTTTTCGGTTTCTTCCTCCTAGTCCATATCGTCTCGTGATTCCTTCGTATTCAGTGTAGTCCATTCCAATCTTAGTGGTTAGGTCCACCATCTGAATAGTCAAATCCTTTGTTAGGCATTTTCTTATAATTGACTTCAGTGTCCCATATCATCTTCATGGCTATCATTGCTGAAACTATAGCACGAGATTATATTCCTTGTAATCCTCTTGAGGGATGCTTCGGTAGGTTTCTTGGTCTTTCTCGTACTGCGAACATACCATGTAACAACATTAGTTGTTCTTCTAGTTTACAAGAGGAGCATCAGCCTCATGACGTCTGAGGAAACTAGGGATTCACCATGAGGCATGATAACTGTTTTATATAAAGATCCTTTAGCACCCGGAGCAGAGTTTAAGTGGCTTAGATAATTTTTTTCTGGTCGGCTAAGTGTTGGCACATTTATCTCCTACAGGATGAGATTGCTAAACATTTGATCTCCTGGTTGATACGATTAAATTTTCAGGTCTAGCTTTTTACTTTCGATGCAAAGTGAATCATTTCTGAAAGCTGTTTTTATTCCCAACACAACTAAATATAGGAGATTTATACACTAAATGGGGATTTAGTGTGATATAAGGGTAGCGTTTAGGTGAGGGTGGAATCATTTCACCACCTCATCGGCCTGACGATGACATACTGTGCACAGTATCGTACAACAGCTCAGTAGTTTCGACGACCTTCAGTAGTTTGTTTCAAAGCAGCCATCCTGTAGCTGAAGTGCTCGGAATTGGTGGCGTGTTAGTAGACCAGACTAACTTTGTATTATTTATGTTTTCAAGGGTTCTGTATTTGTGCAAAGAGAATGGACAACATAAGGCTATGTGTATTCAGTTTTGTTTTCAACATTTTCACCAAATCAAAACTCTGCGTATTGTTGTTTGACTGTCCTTCTATGGCAAGTAGTGAGTGAGTTTCTGTAGTTCACTATATTTGTCTGCACTAGTACTTCTTTAGAAATATGTGGGATTTATAATGTTTCAAGCCCTTTTAGTGGTGACCGATTCCAGATTGCCTATAATCACCACTAAATATTCAATACTATTCCGTCACATAAATCAAAAATAAATCCATGTTCGAATTTTTATTGAAGGAGAAAGTAGGCATTACATAAAGTGCAGCACGTTATGAAAAATGGCAGCGACGCAAAAAGAACCTTGCGCTCAAGAAGTGTTCTTGGTACAGTTAAACAAAACGAGTAAAACAATTAATGCTCATTTTTCGGCTATCGCATTTTCTTCATAGAAGTGTTCCACAACACCTTACTTTTGGTATTTCAAGCAAACAAACGGTTACTGAATTATCCTCCGTAGTATTGGTCGTCACGAGAATGCAAACGGATCATGAAAACTGGAGTAGGTCAACTAAAGGAACAAGGTTTAAATTACACCTGTGAAAACTACTGAAAGCATTTATTGGCACCATTTAAAGCCTTGGTACAAAATCAGCCAAACACAGTAAACTATATGTTTGGCCTAAAAAGACCTTAAAGATCATTTGAAAGGAATAACGATTCACGGGTAACGACGACAGTAGAAGGCTACTTCAGTGGTCACTCTTGTTGCAGACAGAAATTATGGCTCAAACTTTTACTATATACTCGATGCATTTCATTCCTCGGAACAAAACTAACTTGGGTCGAAACTTCCTCAGTTTCCGTTCAAGCTGTTAAGAAAAGTAAAACCCTAACGTTTGGGCTGAAAACATTCACAGTGAGCCTTACATTCATAGATTAATTATCCTGGGCGTCCACTGTAACAGATTTAGTTGTGACAATACTGGTATTGGATTGTTAAGAGAGATTGAGCTTCCAGTCGACACTAAAAATTGGCCATCAACACTTTAAGAGGCTTCGTATTGCTCAACAGGAAAAAAGGATCAAATCATTTCTTCAAAATTGGTGTGAAATTCACCAGTACAGCTTCAAAGTTCTAGGATATACTCCTGAAATTTCCGAACCTGAAAAAATCTTAACCCCGACCTTCCGGAAGTAAGCTCAAGGTTGACCATCCAATCAAAACCGAAGGTGAGCCTGTATTTTTAAAAAGGAAAGAATAGCAGGTCGCGCGCTCCTAATCATATAGATTTGGACATGGGATAACCAGTAAGGGCCAAAATATGAAGGATGAAATCTGTTCCCTCATTCTCCTAGGAGTGCGATCTAGGTCTAATAATCAAAGGGGAGAGGACACAACTTGGATATCCATAGTTGATGCAGCTATGGCTCACAACTCCATTGATCTTCATTCTCCCTAAATCATACTCTTGGCTACAGTCTAACGTGAGCGTCTTACCGAAGCATTATAGCATCTCAC